AAAGAAAAGTCTTTATAAATATGGTCAATGATGAATCTACTGAAGTCCTTCCAGAATGATGTGGTGTGAGAGCAGATCCAAAACATGTGCTGAACAGTCTCCGGGTGGGTTTCACAAAAGCTACATTTCACATCAATGTCTCTTTTAAATTTTGTCATATAGTGATTTGCTGGGTAATATTTATGAATAATTTTAAATGAAACTTCCTTTACCTTATTAGTTATACAAAATGTGTTTGGAATTGTCCAAATTATTCTCCAATTGAGGTCCGCCACAAAATTACTCCAATAAAAAACAACATATGGAATAGTCGTAAGGGTATTGTGAAACAATCTACGTACATTTCTATTACTCTTTTTGTGAGACATTAGACATAACTTTCCCATTTCCGTTTCTAAAATATTGGGAACAGACACAGGCCGTGAGTTTGATTCAACACTTTGAAATAACATTTTCACGCCTGAAGGTACAGCCTTCACAAGTGTTGCATGTTCTGTAGGTGTAGCTGGGAATTTATAAGTGTTTAAGAATTCAAAATATGACATAAGCTGCCCATTACTGTTGAACAGTTGACTCACCAAAATTATCTGTTTCTCAACCCATTTAGAAAAGAATAATGATTTATTTTTATGAGTGATGTCTCCATTATTCCAAATTATAAATTTATGAGGGGAAAAGTTATGCTTATAAATTAGGGACCATGCTAATAATACTTGTTTGTGAAATAGTGATAATTTTTCTGGAAGTTTGTTTACATTGTAGTTGCAGGATAGAATAAAATTTAATCCACCAAATTTAGAGAATATAAAATGAGGTATGAAGCTCCAAATAGAAAATGGATTTTTGATAAAGTGTTTAGCCCAATTAATTTTAAATGTATTGTTTAGAGTGGTGAAATCTAAGACATTAAGCCCACCATGTTCATAATCATTCATTACAACACTTTTCCTTACATAGTGTGTTCGATTTTTCCATATGAAATTAAAGAGTAATCGGTCAACATCCTTACAAGTTTTATCATCCACATGAACAGAAAGAGCTGCATACGTGAGTCGAGAAAGACCTTCTGCTTTCGAGAGCAAGACTCTACCTTTTAGGGTTAAATCTCTTTGCAACCATTGATTTAGTTTGGTTTGTGTTTTTTTGATCATTGGAGTAAAATTTTCAGCTACTCTGTTTTTTTGGTCTTTACAAATAATAATGCCCAAATAGCACACTTCATTTTGAACAGAAATATTACAGATCTTTTGGCTATTACAGCTTTTAATAGGTAATAACTGACATTTATTTAGATTTAGTGATAGGCCAGAAGCTTTCGAGAACTGATCAATAGTCTGGAGAGCAATCGGGATTTGGGAGGATTTTTGAGAAAAATTGTTGTATCATCAGCCAATTGGCTGATGGTCACCTCCCTGCCTGCAATGCTTATACCTTTCACAGCGCTGTTACCGATATGAGAGGCAAGGATTTGTGTACATAGTAAAAAAAGGTACGGACTAAATGGGCACCCTTGGCGAATACCGCATTTAAGGCTGAATCTTGATGTTGTGCCACTTTTCATTCGAATACAACTATTTGCATTAG